TAGACACATTTTTGACTGTGTGCCAACTGATGCAGCTGCAAGGAGAGATGGCACACAGTTTATGGGAACATTAACTTCTAGCCCCAAGACTTTGATCCTGACCTTGCTTCTCTGCCTATGGGGCAGCCACCCTGCTGTATGAACTGATGCAAGAAGTCATTCTTACCTTCTCTTTGTTAGCCGTGTTTGGCTTCTATCCTGTCTGAGCTAAAGGATCCACTGATCTGGAGACAGAACAACTGAGGCCAGGCTCTAGGATGGGTCCCTCTGTAAGGGCCCTCAAGCCTGGTGAGGACAGCGCTTGGCATTAGGAGGCAGAAGACCTTGTTGTGTGGCTGGCACAGCACTAAGGTTTCAGGGGCAAAGGAGCACCCTCCCTTTTAGAAATTCCACCCGGGGAACAGTCCAGACCAGACCTCCCCTCTGGTGCAGGATGAAGGGCCCATGCGTGGGCCTGTGCTGACCCTGCCTATGTCCTGCCTGTCTGTGTGGGTGGGAGAAGGCCCTGGACCCTGGATCCCTGTCAGGGGTGACTGGGACACTCCCAGCTCTGCCTGCAGTTTGCTGGGCAAAAAGGGGCAGTCCCCACCAGGAGGAGCCCGCCCAGGGGTATTGAAGCAAACACCCCAGCATCGCCTTCCTGACGCACTGGGCCCGCTCCGCTATTACCTCTAAGGTATCTGGGGTCACTCAGCTCCAGGTAGAAGATGGATCTGCGCAGGAGAGCCGCCAGCTTGTCCGCCAGCCGCCTGGTGCGCAGGCTCAGGGGCCGCAGCAGGGGGTCGGCTGCCCACTCTTCCTGCACACCCCGAAGCTGCGCTGCAAGGGAGAAGAGGGGAGAAGAGGAGATCACTACGTTGTCCCAACCACCCCCGTGGGCGGCGCTAATGCTGGCCGATGGCTGTGAATCCCTCTGCCTTGGGCGCTTAGAGGCTATGGCAGGGCCAGTATTGGCCATGGATCTGAGTGATGGGTAGGGCTCCAAGGGATAGAAGGTTGTTTCAGACAAGAGCCTGGTCTCTGAGGCAGTGCCCACTGTCTCAAGGTTCAAGTCCTGATTGAACGTTTTTGCATCGGGTGACCAGAAATAGTCATTTGATTTCTCTCTGCTTCACTTCTCTCATTTGTGAAATGGGGACAGTGACGGTTATTACTTCTTGGGGAGAAGTGTTAAGAATTAAATGATCTAATGTGTAGCGAGGATGTAGCACTACCCACCTGCAAAGTAAGCACTTAATAAAATTTAGCCATTGGTATTAACTAAGGAACTTGGGTCTGCTGCCTACCGGGAAACCAGGGAGGGCTCAGGACTGGTGGGGCAGCTGAGGGACCCTTTGCTTTTAGGTCAGTGTGGGCTCCTTTACACCTAAGACATGTTCGTGGTCCCTAAACGTTCCGTTCAGGTCCTGCACCTCCTGTGCTTGCTGCGGAAGCCAGCCCTGGGGGTCAATTCATTGATTTCTACAGGAGTTTGAGACAGGGCTGGGGTCAGATGAAGGAGTCCCTGGGTATGTCTCTTTCCTGGCTTGGAGGGGAGGGGACAGGGTCTTGGGTCTCCTCAGGGTCCTACCTAGAGGAGCAGGGGTGGGCTGTGAGGAGGCGCACTGCCTGGGCTGCACCTCCTGCCTGGGTCTGGTGGGCAGAGAGCTGCACCCTTAAACAGAGGAGACTGACTGGGGGTGCCTCCCCCCAGCCTTGGCTGCCCCCAAGCCCGGGCTCTTTGTTGCTTTGGTCGGGGTGGCCTGCAGGGAGGAGCTCGCTGCAGTGGATATGTGTGTCCCTGCTGGCCCTGGCCTGTCTCCAGCCCTCTCCTTAAGGATTTTATATCTCGAAATTGAACAAACACTTGGCTGTTTTCTCAGGACCTTCAGGTGGCTTTGGCTGGAAGTGGAGGAAGCTGAGAGGAACCCTGAGAGAGTTCCTGCTTAGCCTCATGCAGGGGAGTGGCCTTCTTGGTAAAAGGGCTTTCTCTGCACGCCCCCGCCCCCCGCCCTGTGTTCACGGTATGGCAGGAAGGGCGGTCAAATGGATCATTTCCTTCTGAGAATATAATTTCCAAATCTTTGCTCATGTTGCCTTTAAATCCTTCCTCCTTCCCAAAGACTCGATAACAGCGGGCTGAGCCCCAAAACCAAGAAAAGCAGCTCCTACCCCTCCCCTTTCTTTATAGCCACAGCAGGCTATTCCCATGCCAGGTGGTCACCAGGTCCTAGGGGTCAGAGCAAGGCAGGTGACAAGGAGAACTGGTTTCCCAGTGACCATCCTGGGGAATAGGGCTCACGCACCTTCTAGCACCCGGAACCCCACCACACCGTCTAGGTTGACTCCAGGTAGCCTCTCCTCCAGGAACAAGGTGGCTCTCTCCAGTGCAGACAGGATCAGGCCCACGATGGTGACCTTGCCCTCTGTGGTGTCCGGCCTGGGCAGTGGGGAGGGCTGTAGTGGCCGCAGAGCCAGGAGCAGGAGCAGCAGCCCTGGCCTCGCCATGACCGGCCTTCTGCGTGTAGCCGGTCACACCTGTGGCACTCTCACCCAGGTACCTCTGCACGCCTTCCCCAGCAGACCCGTGGACAAGTGGCCGGGCGGGACTGATCTGCAGCTTGGGTGGCCTGGGCAGAGGGCTCTGGGCAGGAGGCAGCAGGAGACAGATGGTGGGGGTGGGGGGCAAACCTTATGTGGAGCCCCCTGGCTGTCCCCTGGGGAGAGGAGCCCTTCTGGTTCTTCTTGCACCTGAGCCTCCAGCCCACACGCTAGGTCCTTGATTGAGCAATGGCAATAGCAACTCAGAAATCAAAAGCCCTGCAAGGCAGAATTTGTTTGTTTTAAAAAGTTTGGAATGAGTTAGTGGGAGGGCACATCCGGCTCTGAAAGCTCCCTCATGGGGGCACTGTTTGAGGAAAGTAGAATTCCAGCTGCAAAGGCGAGCCACGTGGGCACTTCAAAATGTCGTCATAGCCACGTTAGAACAGCAAAATGCAGGTAAATCCACGCTCTACCTCGTTTGAGTCAATCATTCTAGTATATTGTTATTTCAACATGTAGTCAATATAAAAATGGCTGACATCATTTTTCTTGTACTGAATATTTGCAATCTGGTATTTTACACTCACATTCCAATTCCACCTCTGCTGAGTCCTGAGCTGAGCTCTGGGGACACGGGAACCACATCAGCACAGGCCATCTTGTCCAGGGGCTACTGCCGACATTCAAAGGTGCTGTCCGTTGGACTGGAGGGAGGGTGGCTTCACCAGTGTGTTCTCAGTGTTTCTCAGCAAGAGGACAGTTTTCTGAGCAATAAGGCTGTCACATGGACACGATAAACTACTGTGGTTACTTTGGGAGGTGAAATTGAAGGGCCAACAGGGAAATTTCCCTTCTTCCTAGGGATACTTAAAAATCATTATGGCTTTTACCGCCTTTATATACTTATCTCTCTCTCTCTCTCT